ATCAATCCATCATGGCATTGCGACAACTCATATTTGGCTCAGGCTTAAAGCTTCATATGAACCGTTTCAAGTGCAGCTGACGTGCTGGAAATCTGAAACGGCTCGTGAGACAAAAATTTGCTTTCGTTTTTCCTAAAAATAATGGCATTTGAACCAGATTCGCAGCTTTGTAGAGAGCCACATCAGGTCACGACTTATGTGGGAAGGTTCAACAGCAGAACCATCAGCTACACACAGACGGGGCTGACAGACAGCGCTGGATATCAGTTTGTGCAGACAGAAATCCGGCCGTGTTCGAGCCACTCTGAGATCTTAGCCTGGAGACAAACTGTTCCTGACAGACCGACACCGTGGCCGATGCTTTTCAAGGCCTGTCTCATCCACTTTGGCTTCTACCGCTCTCATCTCTCTCTACCTCTGTCTGATGCTGAGCTCTGCTACCTGTCCGTCCACCACGATTTTTTAGATATAGACTCGAGTGGTGCTTCACAATTTCTACTTCCTCTATCCTGTTCTTTGTCACATATGTAAGCAATTATTTTCCTCAATTTTCTTTATGAAACCATTTGGCAAAAGACGTCCTGAAGCTAAGTTAGAAGAAGGAAGAATTCAGCTGTGCTGATTTTCTAATATTTAAAGTACAATTGAACAGAAGAACACAAACACGTCCAACGATGATACGTTTCTATCTCTGAGTCTGCAGGAACAGCATGAGGATTATCCTGCACTATATTTCACAATAATAAATAACATAAGCTAACAAGTTGCACTGTGTACAGTGAAAAGCATGTCCAAAAATGCTGCAAGGGGCTAAATAATAAAATCTTTAATGAGTCTACACAACATAAATACATCTTAATAATCAAAAGATGAGCAGTAAATGCTCAATTAATTTTAACAAAATATGGAATACTCAATAAGGAGATTTTTCTTTTTTGCATTCCAAAAACCTGTTTCATTTACTCGATTCCAAATGTCATTACATTTCAAAGGCCGCTGGCATCAAAATGATTGTTCAATCAAAAGCTTTTTTTTAAAAAAAAAAATATGAAGGCACTGGCCATTCAACTGAATTTCCACCATTTATTTTGCATGCGCTAATATTAGGCCTACACTGTAGTCTCATCTAATTTGCATATCCTCTGAAAAAAAAAAGAAAAAAGGATAATACAAGTCAAACTATGGCACAGTGATTTCATGGTGTGTGTGTGTGTGCCTGTTCAAACACACTGTGTGGTAGCGTGGGTGTGGCGTTACACCTCGTGTGGCACTGGGCAGCCAAGATAAGAGCTGATCCTATCCATGTCTCCCTTCTGCAGCGCCTGCCCGCCCACCCACACACCCACACGCGTGCACACACACATGCACACGTACACCTACTGCACTACCCAACGTGCCATTGTAATCTCATTTTACAATCCCGATGCCCTGTACATAAACGTGCACTCTCACACATAATCGGAGCAAAAAGAAAATACACACACAGCTAAATCCGTATTTCACTTTGTGCATACACTGGCATGCAACTTTAGAGTACACAGACGCTGCAAGAAGCTGCAGAAGAAAGCTTTAGGCCTAAAGTAGTGTGGCTCATTCACACATATCTAAAGCTGAAAACATTTGTGCAACTACTCTCCACAAACAAATCTGAGTATGGAACAGCCTCTCAGGACTATAAAAGATGGCACACAAAAAATGATGACGAAAGAAGAGGAGAGAAGTGAACAGACTTACCTCGCTTTTCTCTGAGTCAGAGTCAACCATTACATACAAACACTCTCACTTCTCTCTAATTCGCCAAGACTTTCAGTGAAGCACACACATTGACACACACACACACACACACTCAGGCTCACTCTGATGTGATCGGCCACCCTGATAGCAAGCCAGAGCTGACTCTAAGCCTCAAACAAAGTTTGGTGTGCACTGACCAAGATCGAGGGGACAAAAAAAAAAAAAAGGCGAAGAGCAGAGAGCTGGGGGTGGGGGGGTGGGGGGGAGTGTGACCATAGAGTGAAGTTTAACCACTTACAATTCAAGTTTAGCTTCAGCACACCCCGCCTACACCGCAGACTCATTCACGGGGAAGTAGACGCACACCTCTTCGGGTGGGAAAGGCACTGAGCTGGATTTTGGGAAGACCTGTTTTTGCTCTCTTGTTCCGTCTGGTTGCTGCTGCATAGCTGCCGGACAGGCGGACGGCCCTTGCTCACCCTCCTTCTCTCAACTATCTTTTCTCTCTCTCTCTCTCTTTTTTTTTGTTTTACCTATTCGTTGTCCTTACAGATCCACCCAGCAGGACCCGCTACTAACAGCTAGGTGACAGATAGCCACTCAGACTGTGTGTGCATGTGTGTTCACGTTCTTGATTTAAAAAATTATTTAAAAAAAAAAAACAACTTATCTAAAGGGGTGAGAAAAGATTAGATTGTAAAAGTATGTGAACAAGTGACAACATGTAGGAGGAAGAGGGAGAGAAAGAGGATGAACAGATTAAATTTCTGCAGGCGAGAGGGAGAGACTAAGTGTAGTGAATGTGATTTGATGGTGATGCTGAGATGGGGTCTAGGCGTACAAATACTATTAGTCGCTGCTGTGCAAAATGGTTACACACACACACACACGCATGCACACACGCACACACACACAAACACACAAACAAATGTAGAAACCAAAGCTACAGAACATGGCATATAAAAAACAGAAATCAATCTTTATATTTGAAGCCCTGGTTTATGGATGTAACGATTAAGATTAAGGTTGCCATAAAAATTCAAACAACCATATCTCAGCGACCTAAAATTGGCCTTTTTCTCTGAATATCTTTTCCAAGTAAAAAAGCTTGTGAAATGAATTGTAAAAGAAGAAAATGATTCAGCATACGATTGTGTTTTTAAACCTACACCATCAGAGAGGTGGAGGCAAGAGGGAATCAAAACTGTGTCCCAAACATACATTCAAGTCAGCTGCAGCGCGTACTTCACACAAAGATGTATCAGCAAGCGACATTATCGGTCCAATACTGGTTCGTCACACTTATAAATATGTGCCGTCCCATTTAAACCCATCTGAAAACGTGCAGCACATGTAGCAGAGTATGCAACACTTTAGAGATGCGTGTATAAATCTATGCAGATATATTGATTATCATGACTTCTTGCATTCCTTAAAAACCCACTACTAGTCAGGTTACATTTAGTACACACTAAATCATTTGACTTTTTGTTAGTTTTTTTCTCAAAGATTTAATAACACTATAGATTTTTTTCATAATTCTTCAAAGAGCTATAAAACCAAATTTTCAGTTGAGACCAACAGACATCTTATTTGATTATTAATTCAATTAACAGGTGACAACCTTTAAAACACAGTTCGTGAATTTTGCTTAATCATAAAACAAACTGCATAAAGCAAACTTCTGTCTTTTAGCTCTAATGGTTACCATCTTTTGCTTATTTTTTTAAAACACCATTTATTTCTAAAAGAAGCTTTTTTTTGTTTCAAAGAATTACACAAAAAAGTGAACGATGTATTTCTTAGGGAATGCATCTGCAGAATGGCACATTTGGTGCACTTGGAAATGTTTTACAGTGGCAGGAGTGTGGCTCACTAATGTGTTTTAATAGTTTTCATACAGCACCCCACAGCACCACGAGATAAGCCCTATCGGTTTTGGGAAGAATAGAAAACGGTAATCTGGGATCAGTTCAATTTTAGTTTTTGTGCTTTTCAGGATTTTTTTCTTAAGATTTAAGAAAAAAAATTCTATATTTTGGCCCGTTTTTGGTGTAAACGCCCAACATACTCGGGACCAAGTTTGAATTAGTGAGTTGTATTAAATTCAGGCACAGTTCAAGACTACTCAGGCTCATCCCTTAATTTCCTCGCCTTTATTTCCCCTTTTTTTGACAAAGTCCCCCCCTCCCCGATTCCTCTCACTTTAAGACCCCATCCACACCACACCCATGACCCCCCATGTGCAGACATGAGGTCAAGCTCCAAAGATCACAGAGAGAAACCAGACGAGAGAGACAGAGAGGGAGAGAAAGACAGAGACCTAAAATCCTCCTTTCCTCCCAAAACCAGGCCAAACCTCAAGCCTTCCCACCAGCTACAGACCCCCTCCTTTAGCCCAGTTGTGTGTAGAGGAGGCAGTGAGCACTCTTGCAGAAACATCAGCCCAGGGAAATTCAAATGAGGAAGAAACGGTGAGAGGGAGAGAGAGAGCACAATAGTGAGAAAATAGGATAAAAGAATGAGATGGGAGAGCGTTAGGTAGGAGGGAGGAGGAGGGAGCCGGAGAGGTTGCTGAGGCTGCAGGTTAAGATAATGTGTAGATCTGAAGAGATTTGCAGGGAACATTTTTATTCATTTTTTGATTACTCCCATCTCTCCCAAACCTCCCCTCCCTCTCCTCCTGCGTTGCCGTTTCTCCGTTTGTTTGTTTTTGGCATTAGCGTTACGACTGCTGGTATCCACGTGTACGTACGCATGCATGTTGATTAGAGCCAGAATATGTTATAAACACAAATATTCACACTTTCGCAGACTCACACACATATATCAATACATAATGCACACAAACATATTTAAAGATGCATCAGAGAAGCGAGCAGCTGGGCAGACGGTGCCAGGAATGCTAAAAGCTTACAAGTTCGTAAACATGCAGACATAGATGCTGCTTATGTACGTACAAACACGCATTCACACAGATTGTTCTCAGTGCAGCCTAACGCTGTGCCTGCTTCTTATCAATGGGCTGTGCAGGTAGACTAAGTGTTCTGAATGAACTGGGTCACACAAGAGGTGCAGCCCAAATACAATGCCATGAAAAGTATTTATTTGATGATCTGAAACATGTAAGCATGACAAATATGCAAATAAATAAGAAATCTAGAAAGGGGAAAATACTTTTTCACAGCACTGTAGGTCTAACTATTTCTCAGTACAAACAGGAGTCACGATTAAATGAGGTCACAAAAGACAGACACACAACACACCCGATTCGCTGTGAGACCCTCCTTCCAGGTTGAGTGAGATGGAGTGGTCGCCAAACTGATTCCCTTGACCCAGGATCATCCAGCTTTCCAGGCCATCCGAATCAGATGAATCGGACTCAGATTCGGATTCTGACTCTTCTGAATCCGATTCTGAACTGCTGGACTCCACAGTCACAGGCACACCTGGAATCCTTTTCCTTTTCTGAGCATCCTACATGGATGAATTATACATGCAATTAGTGTGCATCAGATGTCAAATCCTTTATTTATTTATTTTTTACCTTGCAGCTTTACTGAACTGATCAAATGACAAAGCAGCGATAAATAAAGGTGATGGTTTGTGAAACTGCTTTGTCCTTTGTTAAACATCATTACTTCACTGCCAGCATTACACCTGCAGCACCTAGTCATTCACAAGCTACAGCTCAAAATGGAAAACAGCAGTAATTAAGCCTGGTGGCAGTGACCACTGAGAAGTAGCTTGCAAAGGACAGAAAAAAATCAAAAATGAAAATGGAAGCCAGATTTCTGATAATGTCTCACAAAATAAAAAATAAAGGGGCTTTAACTTTATGGTGACTTTTGCTATGTCTAAGAAGACGTTCATAAAAGTCTTCAAAGTTAGATGTCCACATGCTGGGCGTGATCTATTTTTACAGCTCATTTGAGCCATTGGACATCCTTTTGTAATAAGCTTCATATTTAAGTGACTGGGAACAGTGGATTTAATCCCCTGACCCCATTCTGTGCAAGACCATATGCAAACATTTATCTGCTGCTAGTATGAGGCCCCAGCTGGCCCAGTTTGTCAAAGTTACATTAGTGTCAAAACCTGAAGTAAAAAAATTGGTTTTACTCTTCACACGGACATCTGGCAGACTTACCGCTCACACATACTGTCATCAACATTCAGTCAGTTTTGATTATGACTGAAAAACTCAGATTTTAAGTTAAGGTTTGACTTAATACCCAAGGCAGCAAAAGGCAGCTGATCTTGGATGGCTGGAGGAGTAACCAAATTGGATGGGCAATTAAGTCCAAGACTACAGGGTGCAGCTGCAAACTGACGTGCTGAGCTTCAGCGCTGAGCTTCAGCGCTGTTTCAGTGTCCACAGGAATTGTTTCAGCGGTAAAGCATCTGTTCCTTAGCATGTTTAATCTGCTTAGAGGTGCTTCTTAACACATTTTCTTGTTTATGCATGTCAGAGACAAGTTTGCAGATTGTTTAACACTACCCTAAGCCAGACGGATTTTTTTTTTTTAATGAACTGGAAACACCATAAATAATATGTTTCATAAAATGTGTCTTTAATTTTGCATTTACCTTTTTTTCTATTAATTTTTTTTAAACGCATCTTAAATATAAATACTTCTGTGTCAACAACTGCTCTACAAACTTTCTAGTTACTCTGTCACTGTGTTGACTGATGTTAAAATGACTTTATCTACAGTTCATCAGCATGGTAATACTGGCTAACAAAGTAAATGTGACACACGGATAGCAGTTCACTTTTTGCTCTACCTGCTGCGCTGGGGTGGAAGTCTGCATGCCTCGACCCTTTAAAGCACAGATCCCATCATCACCTTCAGCGCTGTCATCGTCAGAGATTGAGATGACGTCAGGGCCGGAGTCGATCACGATGACCTCCTCGAAAAGTGATGAGGTCATCGTGGGGGTCTGACCTTTAGAGTCACTTTTCTTCTTCAGCTTGTCCTTTTTCTCTTTCTTCTTCTTCTGCTTCAGGTGTTGCTGCAGGCTGCCATTAGTAGGTGTCAGAGCCTTGATGCCTGTTTTTTCCTCTAGTCCTCTATCACCATCTGCAACCCTATTTTGCCGGGTGTCCTCTCTTTCATGGTTCTGCTCTTCTTCACCCTCCTGCTCCTCTAGTTCCCCAAGGTTGGATGAGTAGTGGAGCTGGCTATAAAGGTGGAACTCCACCTCGCTGTTGGCCTCTGACCCATCAGAGTCCTCTTCTTCCTCTTGATAGAGATCATCCTCCAATCTCTCCCGGTCCTGGTAGACACTGTACATCCTCACAACCACATGCACACACCTGAGGAGATGGCGACTTCAGTGGCTGAAAAGCACAAAAAATCAACATAATATAGCATCACATTGTCTAACTCATTATCAAGCATCGAATTATATATTATTAATACACTGCTGTGTTATAGTTGGACAAAGAAGAACAAACAGCCAGTTTACTTTAGCCTACAGTTATTGACCACTAGTTATTATCATTTGGTTTGTAAAGACGAGTCAATCAAATTCTTTTCACATTTCCCAAAGCCCAAAGAAATAAAAGGCTTAATCTACTCAACCCACAATAAAAAAAAAATCAAAGAGTTTTCTATTATGCAAGTCAAAATAAAATCAAAAGAAATTCTTATGCGTGGGAAACTTCACTTTTTTTTTTAACAATTAATTTCTAAACTGCTAACACTGGTTACTATCACAAACATAAACCAGCTTTAAGTAGGCAATCATAACAGCTCACCAACCAGCAGCTCTTTATGCGTTTCCACAGGTCCTTCCTTCCTGCAGCTGTCAGACTGTACAATCAAAACTGCTCCCAACAAACAGAGGTTTACATCAGCGCTGTAACTTGCACTATTTTATCAACCGAGTCACACTATAACCAGGGTTTGCCTCTTAACTTCATTTAATTTTATTTAATTTAATAATGGTACAGTACTCTGTTTTTGGTAACCATTGTCCTTGATGTAAATATGTAAAAATTGTGTATGTTTCTGTTCTGTGTCTTATGTACTGTTTGTTTGTATATGTGTCTTTCTTGCTGCTGTTACACCCAAATTTCCCCTTGTGGGACAATTAAAGGATTATTCTATTCTATTCTATTTATGCGTGGCTCTTTGCAAAGCATCACTTTGCATTCAGATTCACCTGCTCAGCGGTTTATTCGGGAAAATCACAACCAGAAGGCACAAATAGCAAAATGTGGTTTTACTAGTGTCATAATAGTGTACATTTGTTAATTTCAGAAAAAGATGTGCTCCTCTGCTGCAACCAATCTTTCCCTTAACTGAGCATGTTTTTCAAAAGATTCAAAACTGAATAAAAAAATTAAACTTATTTAGTTTTCATTTTGCCTGATATCAGCTACAAAATCTTCACCAATACCAATCAAATTCTAGCAATGTTTAGAATTTCTTCTTTTTTTTCTGTGCACATGAAATCTTTATCCCGCCATTCAAATATTTAACACTGATCAACCACGTCAGGTCTAATATACAAGACTAATTAGTAGCCCTACTTTATTACCAGAATTGTGCTCTCATCATTTTCCTCTCTTAAGTTATATGTCGTGTATCCACAGCACTGTCGAACTGAAGGAAACACAGGCCAACATCAATTACAGGGAACTTCCATCTTACTCTGAAAACCATGAGGCCTTGTTAAGAAAGCTGAGCGGACACAGCTCAAGAGCACTCAGATTTCTTTTATTTATTTTTTTAACATGTAGACTTTTTTCCATTGGAGCTGTGTTCATTGGCTCAAGCAAACAGGACCCTTTTTTTTTTTTCATGCCAGGTGACGACTTTAAATAACACTTAACGTGACACCAAAAAATTGTTGAATTAGCTGGTTACCGCACTGTGGTGTTAATTTTTCCAGTGCTTGTCTGCCTTTTTCTAACACACACAGTCACACACACACACAGAAAGTGGACAGAGAAGGGGCACCGGCCCATTGCTCTGTCCAGTCCTGCGTGTCTGTGCCATGATGGCTGGAGATGATTGGCTCCCAGGCCGCACACACACTGCATAAAAGCCACGCTACACGGTCACAAGCCGGCCACAAGGGATTAAAGGGACAGAAAATCTTACCGGTTGGTGAGTGGCGACCGTTGTGTTGAAAGTTTCAGCAGCTCACAGGGACTGGGAGCCGACAAATGACTCACTGTGTTTTACAGTAGTGGAATTTAACGTACTATACTTAAAGGCCGGGTACAGTCATGGTCTGACAACACAGGTGATTCCTCCTAACCTTCTCAATTAAAATGCTACCCGAACAACACCCCTGGACTCTGTTAGCTCCATTGCATCTGTTTTGGTGAAGCAACACAGCTTCACCAAAACCAAAGAGGGGTTTTCCACAGAAAACTTTTTGACATGCCAGGAAAAAAAAAGTGAAGAAAAAAACAACAGACAAGATGCAAAGGTGTCTAAATTCTATTTAGTTACTTCAGTTTCAATCCTAATCATGATCCTGCACACAGTCTAAATGTCTGATTTAATATAGATCAGACAGTTAGAATAAAACGCAGTTAGAACAGAACGCAGCAAACTGTACTCGTCTTCTTAGTTTGGACATTTTGCTAAATCGAAAAATCTAAACAAACTTTAGCATAACTGTTGCACTGATAAGACCTATGAATGCAGCTGAAATGCGTTTTACAAATGCTGCATTATGACACAATGAATTTAGTAGAAATCAACAAATATCAAGCACTGACGTTTCTATTAGCCAGCTGTGCATATTCACACGTGAGTCCCTATGGGTTTACACCGAAACAGGAAATACAAGGTTTAATTTATCTGTAGTTTTGGTTAAAAAAAAAAAAAGTGAACTGGGGACTCTGAGAATTTACTTCATAGCTGTGAGATTTAACTAATCATTAGAACAGAAAACACCTACATATTGCTCAATTGTGAATGTGCATGTATCTGAGAAGCTTTAAGTAAAATTCAGGCATGTTAGGTTAACTGGTGATTCTAAATTGTCCAGAGAGGTGAACGTGAGCGTGAATGGTCACTTGTCCCTACAGACATGACAAACGGGTATCCGCCTCTCAGCCAAAGACAGCTGGGATCCACCTGAGCTGGATGAGCAGTTAAGAAAAGTACATTTTATGTTTCAAGAAAAGAAAAAAACAAAAAAAACATTGAATCAACTTAACTGATCTTTTCTTGTATCATTCAGAGCACAATTCTTCAAACAAAGCACATCATCATCTTAATAATTAGGAGGCCATCTTATACTTACAATACTAAAAGAATGGACAAACTATATTGAACCAATAATAATCTATTAATATAATCAATTAATGTATTGGTTGGAGGATAATGGCCTATAAAATGCTTGGATTAACTTGATGTAACTAAATGGTGTCTGCATGTACTTGGCCCAGCTAAGGACTGGTGACTACATTACATATAACACTTTTGCAGTACTACATGCTATCCAAAAAAATATTGGCTGATATACTGACATTGGAATAGATCCATCCATCCTCCTATTTTCTTCAGGTTGCAAGAAGGCTGGAAACTAACTAAGCTGTCATAGGCTGCGAGGCAGGCATCCAAACTCTACACAGAAAAGCTCCAGACTTGATTCAAACCTAGGACCTTCTTGCTGTGAGGCAACAGGTAATACTGCACCACCATACCACCCACTGCAACCTTTAAAAATCAGTATCAGCCAGGTATTGAACAAGTGTTATGTCAAAAGTGATTTCTTATGTTTCTGTGTGTTTTATGTCTGATATCTTTTTCTTACATTGGTACATAAACTGTCTTCAGTATGATTTTTTTGAAGGGAGTAATAGATAAAATAAAGACAAGTGTCCTTAAGATTCTGCATTTTGTACATAGTCTGTGTTCTACATTATAACCAATACTGTCCATTTTGGCCACTTATAACTTTATATGGCACTTCTGCCACAAAATACCTTGATATCATTCAAGGAAGATATGTCTGACATATTACAGGTCAGCAGTTTGAATACTAGACAATGTTTTGCTAGATATTTACTTTTTAACCAGTGCCATGCAAAAGAGTGATCATCTCCCAAAAAGTGATTTCTAGTGTCTACTAAAAAATGATTGCCCATATTTAACCTGTTGTAAATGACTTATTGGCCTGTAATTTGTGAAACTTATGTGAAACATATCTTTCATGAATGATAATAAGTAATTTTAAGCCAGAACGTCCCTGCTATAGTGTAGAAGATGCAATGAGTTTCTGACAAAGCAACTTTTAGATATCATTTATGTATCCCAGTCGACATCACAGTTTTGTAGAACATCACAGTTCTACAAAAGATATATTTAGTGACCAAAAAGGAGTGTATTGATTGTATTGGAGGTGCAATTACACAGTCATAAAAATACTTCAAAACAGGTCATTTATTTATTTTATATATAACCCCCCAAGAACCTTGCTGAGTAGTTTATTTAACAATTTAAGAAAAAAACAACAAGTTTAAAACACACACAAACATCAGAAGTCACCTTTTGCACAAAATTGTGTAATGAGGCCTTTTGATTATACATATTTTTTTCTTTAATTTTAGTGAATGTGTGATTATGCTATGGTTGCAATGTGGAGTTTATAACATCCACGCGGTCATTTGACTTAAGTTAGGTTGTCAAAAACAGACTAGAGTGACAGGCTGACATCTCGGACATCCAGCAGCCTGGTTACGTTGCAGCGTACAGAAACTTCAGTTTTATAACTGTGTACTCTCCTATTGTAGTTAGCCTAATGGTAACCCCGGCTAGCTCAATGCTAACGAGCTAGCTAGAACATGCTACCTGTTTATCAGAGTACCGAGGCTTCACTAAACAGTAACACGCCATAAAACACAGGTAGCTGGGAAATTTTCGCTAAGCACGGGCTTTTAAAAGTTATTTTAGCGTATCGGCAGTCCCTGGTTGGCATGTCTCACTCCACTCCATCCACGTGTTTCTAAGCAGCAGAGCAACTGCTCGGATGTAAACAATGGAGCGTTTCAGCCTCAAACACACATGAAAGAACATAAATACAAGGAGCTGAGGCAGCCCTAATCAAGGTCACCACTGTGTGTGCTTAATATATAATGTCAGTGTGTATGAGCTCACCTTTGGAAACAAACTGGAAAGGTACTGCTACCGGAGGCTGGAGCTGCATTTCCTGCGCCTCCAGCACAGGAGACAGACAAACAACTTCCGGGTTTGTCCGAGGAAAATAAGTTGGCCGACCGTAACATTTCACTTCGAAGGCGAAGATTGTTATGAGTGTTGAAACAAAGTGCATCTCGGACACTGAAAGGTCATGATTTCCCCAACACAGGTAATTTTTACAGGATACCAAGAAGAAGAGCCTTTATTCCATAAATAGTTATTTGAGACTGTATTTCGCTCGTTTTCTGCCCTTTGCCTAAAAGAAGTATTTTTGGCTTTTTATTTTCATTACTAACAACTGACAAGCCTGTGTCGTGTCAGTATTGTAGGTAGTAATTATGAGGTTTTTTATGGGGTTTTTAGAGCTAAAAAGAACGACGAAGAAACGCAACTTACTAAACAAAAAAGAAACAGAGACAAAATAATAAAATACAGCATTTTACAAACACAACATTTAAAATTTAAAGCAGCAAATTTTTAAAAACGATGTTTCGTAAAATGTTGTTGTTTTTTTTTTTACTAAATTACTATAGTGAATTATAATTGATTATGTAGAGACACAGATATGCACTGTTTTTTCAAGTCCTGCTTGTACATTTAGTTTTGTTTTTCCTTATCTATTTTTCATTTTATGATTAGGGGTGCCTCCAAAATGTTTGTCCATATGCGGTCTACTAAAAATATTGGGGTGGCACACCAAAAACAAAACTTCCTGTTTTATTATGCTGTACTCAAAAATATCGCAATGAAAAGAGAAGGAAAATAATTATATGCCTGGTTAATTTCCTGCTATTAAAGTTGATATCACCAAAAAAAGATTTATATGAAAACCAAAGAAGACTTTGAATTCCAAAATAATCTGCCTTGAATGATTGATTGACTGGAAGTCCTAACCACCGCTTTAATGATTCTCAAATAAATATTAGATCATGTTAGAGTGTGAACTGTTGCCTGTTTCTGTGTTGGCCTTGAGATCCACCAGTGATGTGTCCAGGGATTGGCTCAAGTGTTTCTGTAACATTATTACATTATTACCAATATAGGACAGGCTCCCCTGCCTTATATTGTGTCTGTGTGTGTGAGAGAGAGAGTGTGGGGGCAGTGGCCAATGCCCCCTCATCCCTCATGGTACCATAAGGTAATTTAAGAAGGCTGTCAATTAAGAATTAGAAGAAAAAAAGATTTTTGTTGTTCTTTGTAGGTTGTTTGCTTGTGCAGGTAGGCTTCATTAATATTTTCTCCCTTACTTTAACTGCTAAGCATCATCATATGAAACCACTGGTTTAAATAGTTTGTTAGTGTGCTGGCAGCCAAGGGAATGGAGATACTCATTTGGTTTAAGTCCAAATGGGGAACCTACCCATTTCCTCTCATTTGCTTCCAGCTTTTTGGTGACAAAGACAAAATGTCCAAAACTGTCAAAGTAAGAGACCTGCATTATCAACAGTTAGTATTCAAGTCTTGCGTACTTACGGTGGATTTTCTTTGTGATTCATGAAAGCGAACCTCCTCTGCTAAACTTTTAATTGTCAAACTTGACACTGAAGTCAGCCAGGCTGCTCTACTTCCAAAAATATAGTTTCTGCAAACAAAACATCCCTCAGGGCCTTATATGTTGTTTTACTGCTTCATTTCTCTGATGTATGCATCTACAGTAAGGTCCAAATATCAGCTGTAAATCCTCTGAATATGTAGGTATGTTCACTTGGTGTGAGCATGAATGTGTGAGTGACTAGTATGAACCTTCAGGCCTGTGCCTTTATTACATGTTGATGGGAATGTAAATCTATATGTAAATGTAATTCAACAGACTGGGTATCGCCATCAGTCATATTTATGACACGTAGAATACAGCAAAATTACGCCATCCTGGCTCTTGTGCAAGCTGTGTAACATTAACATCCATCTCCCTCTTCCTCTCCTCCATATCATGAGAATAATTACGAGCTCTGTATATCCTGCTATAAATGTCGCCATCATGATAGTGGTGAGAGAATGGCATTATGATAGGGAATCAGAGGGTGAATGCCATCTGATTCCTGAGGTTTCTCCATGCGTGTCATCACAGGAAAGGCCATCACAGAGTTGGATTGTTTCCTTCCAAAGGTTAGTCTATACCTCATGTCACAACATTATCACCTTTTCTAGTCTATGTATACCTCTGACATACACATACACACACCTGTGCATACACACAGGTGCATACTTAATATCGTGCATCTGTTTTGTTTTTAGGAGGTGCAGATGGGTGGGCGTGGGACCCTCTGCTTCCTCTGCCTCCCTGTATCTCTCTAAATTGGATGCAGGTCCGAGATGCCTGACTGCCCCAGTGAAATTGTGATGTGACTGCCTGATTTTGGGTTCTACGCATTTGGTGGTATTTACTGTTATTATTTTAAATGAAGGTAGAAGAGATCGACTGAATGGAGGCATCTGGTTCAGCGATTCATCTCCAGGCCAGTGGTGCCCAGACCAGTGGCGTGTTGAAGATGGATGGAGTGTCCGGGAGAGGGATTTAAAGTCCCCTCATTTCCAATCACACATTCCAGAAGGGATGGTTCTGCCTGATGAATGATCTTTATTGAAGAGAAGAAGTTAAAAGAAGCATGTCATTGCTCTCATTTGGTGGTGTTTGTATGTTCCATAGTGGCCCCTTCTTTCCATTTGGCATCGGACGACGTGAAAAAGCTTTCTCTGGAATGTTTTATCAAAGCTGGATTCTTGTCAGCCGCTCCGGTGTAAAGGCGATATTCTACAGCTGATGGTCATTTTTGTTTTGTAAGTGTGTTTCTGATGACAAAAAAAACCCCCAATTCTGTTCTTTTTGTTTGCAGTTGTGATTTGAAGAACCTGTACAAAATGGAGTGGAACACTTGCTTTCTCTGGCAAAAATCTGACCTCTAGCTTCTGACTGCATTATGAGAAACCATAGACTATGCTTACCTGTGAGTAAGCATGCAATTAATAATCAGTTGTGAGGACAATGGTTGGCAACTATATAAGTCCGAATGAAAAATTAAAAAAAATGTCACTGGTTTTGAAATACGCATGTCAATTTGTTTGTGATAGATATTGCTGTTGGCCAGAGAGAGCAGAATATTTTAAGAAAGCAAAAAATATTTTATTCTCAACAGCAGGTTTGGAATACCACCAATGGAGTATCTCCAACAGGAACGTGTCTTTTAATAAACCTCATATTTTTTTTAACTAACTATAAGATTCCTACAGAAGTGTTTAATTTCTATTCGATGCAGCTGAAGTTAAGAATTTTTTGTCAGAACAGGTTCAATAACAGCATCAGTGTTTAGTGGCTCATTGTTGAGCTGATGTCGCTCTCTTATTTTAAAAGCAGGTGAAGGTGAGCTTGAATTAATCCTGGCTTTGTGATAAGTAAAGGTGTCTCAAAATAATATGACCAATTTTAGCCCTACAGTCTCCCAGCTTTTTAAATTTTGAGAGATATTTTATGCAAGTCAAACTGTAAAACAAAAAAACAAAACAAAAACAAGCCCCAAAAAGCTAAACTGGGGTTTAAGAGATTAATCTAGAGGTGCGCTCATTCAACATCTCCGCCCATCATGTTCTCAAAAAAGAACATGATGGGCATCCACTCCAAATTTAAATGTTCTGCATTTGCCTTCTTGCTTCACATTTAATGTTTATAGAGGTTTTCCAAAAAAAAAAAAATCTAAATATAGCAGCAAAACATTTGTGGAGCTGATTTGTATTGAAAAAGGAAAATAATAGCGGAGATCTAGAAGTAATATTAAGGTGTTTCAAAAACACATCCAGCATCTGCTCAGATGTTTACTCCATCCATAACTGGTTGCATCAGCTCGTTTCAGTTCTCTAAAAGAGGTCTGCTTCCCTTTCTACTGTTGCCACATGCTTTCTTGTTACTGTATATATGTAAATTCAACCATCCGGTCTGTATTGAAGCAGCCGGGCAGAAGGAATTCCCTTAAAAAAAAAGGCTCTCCCTGGATCAGCGCTTCTGAACAAAAATGGCTCCCGTGCGTCACCCATATGGGGCCCTCAGTGCTGAAGTCATTCACATATTCTGGATGTACAGAATGTATAAGCCCCATCATCACTGGGGTTTTTTCCACTGCATCGCATGTAATCTATCGTATCTGTCGCCTCAGTCAAGGTTTGGTCTTTTTGGTCACATTAACGCAGGTGTTACATTCTCATTAATTCTAAGAGACACCGCAGCATCAAATAGCTTTGTGGGATAAGAAACTGGTGGTGTATTAGAGAGATTCAGTAGATTCTGGAGTTAATATGCCAAGTAGAGCATGTACTAATCAGTGGCAAAGCTCACAGGCAGGAAGGAACAAATGATAAAGCACAACCAGAGGGGAATGATAACTCGTCACCGGGGTATTGCTTGTAATTTTGTACCATGTAAGAGAATATTTCTTTGTTTTCTCAGTTCTACACAAAGTTTAGCAAGCTTGATCTCCAAACCTCTCTTCAGACATGGAATTTGTAACACAGATCAGCCACAAATGACCTCATATTATGCCTGGGACATATGGATGAAATGACAAACCTGACACTTAAAGTACTTCATGATATGATGCTAAATTCATTTAAAATTAGTTGTTTTACAATACTGAACACAGTGGCTGGACACTCTGTTGACACCAGAAAGTACAATGCATCTGATCAGGGCTCACAACTAAACTATCTCTTAAATTAAGAGACAACAAGCCAACAAAGAAGAGTGGAGATCCAGAGCGATGCCACCGGGATGCTCCAGGGTTTATTTGTTTCGGGTTGCAGCTTAAAATCTAACCTGCATTATCAGGACTCTCTGACGATGATCTTTTTTTAAATATTGAATGCATGTCAAGTACAGGTGAAACACACACACGCTTGTGTGCACACCCAGAGGAAACTGTTTTTGTGAAGCTCTGTGATCAACAGTCTGTCCATGCTTTCAATTGGGAAAAAAAAACAAGAGAGCAAGCCTGACAACACCTTTTCAGGCCAGACCAAGTGACTTGTGTCTATGGGGATTAAATTTGTGAACACAAGCTCTACACACACACACACAAAGTCCCACATACACACTTCATCACCACACGATGCCACAACACCTCTTTCTCAGCTGCGAGTATAAAACCACATTGACAGGAGCCTTGTCCGCTCTTGTCGAATTGTCACGCTGAAATGTTTACCTTTACATACAAATGGCCTGGTGTCATGTTGTGTCACATAATGTTTCATGGACAAATAATGTGTCCCATTTCTCAATCCGCCCTGCAGCCCTTAAGCCCCCTTTCTAGCCTCTATAGCCACAACAACACCCAGGCACCATGGCCGCAGAAAGGGAACCTTGTGTCGCCACAGTGAAGTGCCACTCTGAATTAAATCCCAGGGATATAGAGGTAAGCTCAATCAGCACTGTGGCTCTGAGTATTTCTAGGAAAACAATGAGCACCAGAGGTAAGTTTTTGGGTTTTTTTTTTTGTAAGACTGTCGGTATTAGGTTTCTCTGATGTACTGTAAAGAAATGTAACACATAAGTGGATGAGAGGGAGTATTTTTTTTTTTAACTCATACCTAATACACACTCAAGTTAGAAACCCTGAGTGAGACTTATTCATGAAAAACAAAAGTTACTAAATACTCCAGAATTCAAGGAAGATTTAACAAATATATAAAAGCAGGAAAACCATAAATTTTCTTTTTTTCTTTTTTTGTAAAATGAAGAAGTTTATAAGATATAAGTCCAGAGTAGGCTTTTAAATAGTTATGTCCCTTTCATTTTTAAATATGAAAAAATACAGTGTTGATTTGAATGTGAGGCTTTGGACTTAAGAATAACATTTAGGTAGCAAACAAAACATCATTATCAGGTAAAGTTAGGTGTGTTTTGTTGAATTTCCTTTTGAAATGTAAATGTGGTTCATTTTGAAGTTAGACAAAATATTTTAAATGAACACTTGAGTATATTTTAAGGTGCTACTACTTTCTATTTCTGATGCTTTCCTCTCTGCTACAGTTGATGGGAAATGCAGTAAAGTGTATTGCTTCACCTGATATACAAGTTTATTATTATTAAATATAAATTAAACCCAGCATTACAGTGGTTCACATTAGCTCCAGGCATAGGATTAAAAGCTGTGTATGGTTGGATCCCCATTTAAATACAGCACAATCAAATTAAATTGTCATTGTCCAAATGTCCTGCCTTTACTTTTAATAGTTAAAAGTAAATCACGTCGATATCTAATTTGCATGGCCTGCATCAAAGTGAAATTTTGAAGGCGGGACCTTTAACACACAACTTGTGAACTTCCACAGATAACACAGATGCATGTGTAATTTTGCACTGGCACAATGAAACCCCACAGAACTGCAGGCCTGCAATAAGCCTTTGTATTTTCCGTGTAGTTTACACTAAATTAAACCGGTCTGGTGAAAGCCAAAAGTCCCACAGAGACGAGGAGCATTTCCGCCTGTGTTTACGTGTTTACTTATTGTTCTAATCGTCCCTTTAGTTCTTCTATCTCGCGCTTTAATGCGATTCTTTCCGGTTCCGCTCGGTCAGAGCTCGGGTCACCGATCCAGCTACTCCCCACTCATATTAATTACATTAATTAGTACGGGGGTGAAAAACAAACAAGTGATGATTAATATCTAAACTGTGGAGAGTTCTCTGAAGAGGTCCTGCAGGCCAAAACAACAAAAACAAAAACAAAAAAAAAGTGGAGAGACAAATGAAAGACTGCAAAAAAGAAATAAATTCATTAATTAAAACAAAATGGGATTTTAGGGATTTAGGAAAAACTATTTCTTGTCTAAATGTTTGAAATACAAACAATAAAAAATAACAAAATAAATAAATAATGTAAAAAAAAACTGTTGCATGTAAAATATTTCATACACGCAACATATAACTCAACCCAAATAATTATGTGCACATTGTTACATAAATATATTTAAAATGCGTGATGTATATATGTATTTTACATATACACTGTGTAAACAATAATTTTTCCTTTTATGGTTTGTAGCTCGTTATTAACATCATCATCTTCATCAATAACAATAATAATAATAATAATTATTATTATTATACTGCCTCGAGCGATTAATAAAAATCGTTACACATTTCCGCATTTCACTGCACTACAGTGAAGATTAATTACCAGTCAAATCTGATTTAAAAATACCCCCCTCCCTCAAACTGTGTCCGCTTTATGTTTTGTAGTTTGAAATTATAATTGTGGCAAGATGTGCATTTTATCTTCATGTGCGTCTCTGGAAAAGACTAAGGAAAAAACACACAAATTAAAACCAAGCAGAATGCAATAGTGTGGTTTCTTCAAAGAGCCCAATAGCAGATAATTGCACATTTTTCTCTCCACGAGCTCACACATTTAGGAAATGTAGTGAATAATCCGCAGCCGTGGCCTTGCATACAGATTCAACTTTTGGGGGTCCATGAAGTGATAAGGATGAGACAGTTCTGCCGGGGATTCAAGAGCTTTCCCCTGCAGGCAAAACACAGAATCCACGTTAGTGTGTGCAGGCCTAATCATCATTAGCCTGGAAAGTGACAACACCAGGCTGCAGTATTAACCAAATCACTCTGTGTGATGTGCAAAGGGGGGGGGTTCAAAAGATCCCGTTGACTAACTTTTCCCCGCATAAGTGGCCTACAGTCCATTCCAACACGGCATAAATTCATATTTTCCTCATAAAAGTCTGTAATTGATTTATCTGCGGCTGCTTCCCCGCCTGAAGGTCAGAGTAAAGCCTCCTTCTTTGTTTTCTCGCCACCACACAGGAAACATTAATGTTGATGTTTTGATGTTGTGGGCGCGAGCCGAAGGTCAGGGTCGTAGTGTTGCAGCGCGAGGCGACAAGCAGAGCAAAATGGGTCGCTGTCTCGCGCTTTGTTCCTCACTCAATTGTCTCGGGGCTGCGCGTGAACCCTGAGACCCGCAGCTGTCTGGAGGAAAGCAAGAAGAAGTTAGACACCGAGTAAAGAGACACACCCACTGCTTCAATTTCGCTCTTAAATCTTAATTCCTGTTTATGGTCACGATCGGCAGGAACTGGCGGTGAAGTCTTAAGTTAGGACTGTTGTGTGTTTGTCCTTTACAGTAAATTCACTTTCGTTTGTACTGCTGTTTCCACGTTTTTTCGCCTGGAATCAGTCCTCTTTTAAGCATAATTCAATTGCGTTTGTTTGCTGCATAAGACACCCCTTCGTTCCGGCTTTACCTCATGCCCTCTTATTGGTGAAAATTTTACTGAACACGCTGCTGCCAAACTCTTTTAAAATTGCTCCTTCAAAGTGGCACTTTGGTCTTCAAGTGTCATTATTTACACAGCCTTATGATTAATATCTGTTTGATTTTAAAAGTTGCAAATGTATCAATAAATGTAATAAATGTATTTATAATAATTTATGGGGGGAGGGGGGCATTTGCGTGTTTGGGCTTGTTGGCGAAAAGCGACAGCAAAACCTGACCGTAATAACACGAAAAGCCTACAAAGGAACACTAAATCAGGAGATCTATATCGTCAGTGTTTCACTAGACACTCTAAGAAACCCAAAGAAAGCGGTGAGTATCAGTATGAGTGGAAATTTTCAGTTGGCAAATCGATTTCTAAATTAAATGTAACGCGCTTACAGGTGTGTGTCTGACAATCAAGACTAAGAACCAGAACTATCCGTTTTGTAACAAACTCTTTTCACGAGATGCACGCAGAGGAAGACTGTACGCTCCAACTGCAGAGCAGTGACGTTAGCTGAAGTTGTAGCTCGACGTATTGCACCTGCTCCAAAGTCTCTGAGTCCGTGCGTAAAGAGCATCCTGCGTAACAGGTGTAGACCGGCAAAGGAGGACAGAAGTTGGAGAAACTTCTTTGAGCACTCTTTTGGGAGACACTGAAAGGACACTAAACAGAAATCCACCTGTGAACCAACGTTTTCTTATTTCTAAGTAAAAGGAAAAAAAAGAAAAAAGCGCACTAGTTTTACGCATGGCGCTGTAATGTTACCTATCAACCTGCATAGCAATCAACCGGGAATGAATCAGAGGTATCAGAGGAAATGAATCTAACATGAAAGGGAGAAAGAGAGAGAGGGAGAGTGGGGTGTGGGCGGGAAAGTTTAGTAAAGTGGAACTTGGTAACAGATGCGAGGGAGGGGGCGCGGCCCTGAAGGGAAGGGTGGCGGTTGTAAGTTGCATGTTATGTATGCAGGGCCGTACGCGTGCGTCGGAGCGCACGTTAATGTGTGCACGTGAGCGCGTACACCCATTGAATTTGTGTGTGCAAGCTCGTGCAGGAAAAGGACAGGACATGAGCGCACATTGAGAAAGCGGCTCTTTTACTCGGCGTGATCATTTCACGCTTCCCCCCGAAGCCTTTTTTCCACCTAAAGCGTTTAGTTGCAGCTGACTGAGCACTTGCAGGGAGTGCAATAGGGAGCGGAAGGGTCGAATTATTTCAACCTACAAGTCGCCCCAAAAGTAGGGGACAAAAAAAAAAAGGGGGGGGGGAGGGGGGAGAGAAGAAAACTGCCCCAGAAAGGGAGAGAGATAGGGAGAGGGTGAGAGAGAGAGAGGAGGAGGAGGAGAGGGAGACGCTGGAAAAAAGTTTTTGATCTTTTTCTTTTTTCTCCCTCCATCGCCTCCCCCTGTTCTAACCGAGTAACATGGACCAGGGGCCCAAGAGTCCTGCGCTGCGGCTGGGAAGAGCAGGTAGGGTCGCACCGTCTCACTCTGGCTACATTTTTGCTCTCATCAAGAGCTAGACCTCATCTGCTTATCTAGTGAACTCGTGCTTTTCTTGCTTTTTAATTTTATTTACGACAAAACTTTTAAATTGACGTTAAAGTTTAGCTTTTTACAAACGTTTCTTTAAAAAAAATGCTTTAAAGCCGTTCTAAGTTATTAAACTTTTACAAAAACTATAAAAACGTTTTCGGGAGTTGATCTCTGCAATGAAACACTCCGTAAACTTTTGTGCTAACTTTGAAGTTTAAAATGTGCTTTAGTTGCAATGTTTTCTCTCAAGTTTGTGACTTTTGTGGACAAGTGCAGAAACTTTTAGTCTTCGTGTTGCTGTCTTTTAGAAATTCCTTAGGCTTCATTTAAAGAGATAAAGAAGATAAAAAATGTGCCTGAGTGCTGTCGGTTTATAATTTTGCTTCTTTAAAAGATATGTTTTGGTTTTATTTGCTATTTTGGATTTATTATTATTTTCGTCATTTGCTGGCAGAGAAGGAAAAGTGGCTGAAGTTGCTGGGTTTGGGTGGCATTGAGCTTCAGGTCATCTCCACGTGTTGGTCAATCACCTGATGGGGTTAGCTTAGTACCGGGTGGGTGATTAGAACTGAAAGGCAACGTGGATTTGCGCAAGATCGTGGTCCCTGTATATCTCCACGTCTCACAAATGTATGTGTAAAATGCGTCTTGTGAGGGTGGCCATGTGAGATGTTATTTGTTTTTCTAGTTTGTTAAACAGAAGTTGGCGTCTCTGGTCGTTTCAGTCAAATGCAACTCTCTAAAGGATGTGAACTCGACTCTTTCCTTCGTGTCTCCATTATTTTATTCAACAGGTTAATCTCCTATAGGCCTATTCATAAAACAGCAGGGTCTGGTACAGCAATGGATCAGGCCATCGACCTTGTTATGGCACCCAATGGATATCACATCATTTCATATTGCTGCCCGCTGTGTCTGCATTGATAAAACGTCGTTTGTCATTAAGAAACTGTGGGTAGGTGATCAGCCTCTTTGAACGGGCTCCACGCAGCTTTTTTTCCTCCAGAAAAGCAACATCTGCTTTCGTGACCCCTCCTTTTGCCTGTTAGAAAGAATATTGAAATGTACGCTCACAGATTTAAGACAGCTGTTGAATAGCATTTTTAATAGAGGTTCAGACTGCAGTTAATGCTGTTTTACGCATTCATTTATACTATATTGCGCCAAGGAGGACTTTTGAGATCATGACACTTTGTCTTGTAATATATATATATATATATATTTTTTTTTTATCTTGGGGTCATCCTTCTTTGAATATTTCTCTACAGATGATGCCACTGCTCTGTAAGACAAGTCAGGGCTCCTCTGCAGTCTTTTGTGGAGTGGGCCTAGCCCCTGATAAACGCTGAAAACGATGGGATTTGTAGCAATTGGATGATAGCCTTTTAGCCACTGAGGAAATCAGAGTTTAAAGGAGGGGCCCTCCCATGCTGATGTGTAAAGTCTTCTGGGCCCGGGGCCTGTACCTACGGCCTCTCCATGTTTCCTCTCACTTTAAGATACGTGCTTGGAGTACAAAGGAGAATCAATGGGGAAGAACGTGAATCTAGAAAAGCTTCTGGTAGTGCGTGAAAGAGCAAGGCTCGATTCTTTCCATTTAGCGTGGCTGTTATTTCTGTGAATTATTATTAAAACAACAACAACAACAACAACAACAACAACAACAACAACAATAACAACAACACGCAAGTCATTATCTGTCTTATAAGACATTTTCAACACCCGTATATGATGTTAGCTCCCCTTGAACTGTTTTCTGTCCACAGTAAAATACAGGTGTATTGAGAGTAATACGACCCACTCAGTGATATCGTTTCTCTGCGTATATTCTTCTGCGTCATTCTCTACCAGCCTGTTTTTATGCAGGCGCCCCGGAAACCCCGTGAACTGCTCTGCACTACTCTGACCATTCAAGCTTCATCTACAGCATTTGTGTTTTCCAAAAGTCAAAGCTGACACGCCACCGTATAAAAGTTGTTGACCAAAACGCTCACTAAACTGTGCAGAGTACACTATGTGATGCACAACCGATACCATGAAAACGGAAGAGAGAAAGAAGTGAGGCAGGGGAGGGGAGGGAGAAAGACAACCATGACCTCACATGGCGTAGCCTGCTTTAGCTTTGACCTCAAGTGCCCCATCATAGCAGAGAATCTAGGCTGATATACGGCCATGAGGGCTTTCTATTCCACCTGACAGATGACAGACTGGTCTTTACTTGCATTATGAAAGAGCCAAATGATTACAAATAGGACCATCTGATCGGGCCTGTGGGTGGGACAAGTCTCAGTGATTTACCTGCTCGGCACACGGTCGAGTTCCACCTCGGGAAGTCCAAGACGGTTCACTCTCTAGTCCATATATTTTATTTATTAGTTATGACTTTTATATTTTATAAGCAAATGAAAACTTAAGAAGAGATACGGGAGCTTTCTCATTATGTTTACAGTCAGCGGGCGTGTAATAAACGAGCTGGTGGAGTTAACATGCGCTATTAATTTTTCATTGCTTTTTCGTTTTGAGGCTCGGGCGTAAAAAAGCAAAACAGCCGAAGCCTTCTTGGCGGATAGAGGGAAAAAGGGAGAGCAGGGGTGAAAGGGGGGAACTCCTAAATAACAACAGTGGGTTCAATTTGCCTCCAAATGATTATCACAACTCCACCACATTCTTACTAACGTTTAAAAAAGTCTACAAACCCTTCACCCTTCTCCTCCTCTCCTTCCTCCTCCTCCACCACTACCACCCTCCCATCCTCCCGTTTCCAGCAGTGGAGAGGTAATGAAATATGGTAATGGTTTTGGATCCCCGGATTAAAGTCGTCCTACCCTGATTGAAGTTTTCTCCAAATTTCAAACCCTAAAGCAACAACAATTTGTATACATGATTGATTGTGTTTGGATTTTTTAATTGCTTATGTATTTAATTTGCAAATCGGAGAGACAAGAGCGACGGCTGTAATTTACTTCTGTGCGGAGAGAAACGCTCGTGTCTATATCTCAGTAAATAAAAACAGACTGGGTGCAGAAGGAGAACGGATTCAGTGACAGAAATACGTAAAGTGTCATATGGCAGGTTTTGTTTTTGAGTCTTTGTTTGGAGACCCCTCCAAGATAGCAAAATAACCTGCTCCGCCAATACAATATATATTACGAATTTAGTAGTTTATATTTATATAGAAAGTAAAATGAGATATTGTCATATTTTAAAACTAGGTTTATTTAGGCATTTTTTATACGTCACGAGGCCGGGAGATTCCCCCCCCCCCCGCTGATTTTCAGTATTATCAGCGGTCCCCTGCTTTTCGACATTTTGTTCGTCTTGTGGCCTAAATTCAGGCCTGAGGTGTAGGTATCTAAATATCAAAATTAAAAAATATTACTACTACTTCTTTGTGTTTTAATTTTTTTTTTCTATTTTAATGTTAAGAAAAATGCAAGCCAAAAAACAGAATGAGGCTCGTCTGCTGTCTGTCGTGTTTTTCCACGAGGCCTCATAACTGATGAATACTCAGCAAAGAGATGTGAAATATGAATGAGGATTAGCGTGGATGCTGAAAACAGGGTCTACTTTCAGTGGATTAAAGAAAAGAGACGTGGAATCAATGGAGATTCATGAAAACACATTTTGTGTTTTGGATGTCTGGGTTAGTGAAACAGACAAAAAAATGTTTGATATACAGTAATCCCGTGCTGGGATTGTCCTTCCTGTTTTGGGAGATATTTTTGGTCCTTCTAGGCCTTCACTGGTCTACTTGGAAGACTTAACTTAAGGTATGTTCATGGTAAAGTTCCTGTAGGCCACGTCTTGTCTTCGTGTGTATGTGTGTGTACGTGCATGCGCGTAAGGGCGTGTTGCCCAAGGTTGAACGCCCCCTCGTGGTTAGGTCCGCAAACATCCCATACTGAGGAGCCAGTCTAACCAGAAAGCAAAACCCCAAAGCCTCCAAGCTTCCAGTTTTTCAGAAAAATTTCTGAAACAGCGTCAAGGTGTGTTATTTTTCATTTTAGGGATAACTTTTTATTTTCTAGTTATGCTGTACTTGAGTTTAAAGGAGCTCTCTGGGCTGATGCGCGCTTTAAAATGGGCAGAAGTGCAGATCATGAGAGCAGCAGAGGAAAGACGCTAACAACTGCAAATCAAGAAATCTGCAAATCTAAAAAAATAAATAGACTCAATCATATCACAAACTGACCTTTTCCAGTAACTGTGCATTGCCTTGAGGTACATCGAGCTCGTAGGTCTTTTGAGGATAAGCTTGACAGGTAGGCAGAATAACCTAAAGACTGTTGTGGTTGTTGTTTAGGTCTCCATTGTGACACTGACTTGACAGATTGTAACAAAAGCCGCATGCTTAATGATGCTGTTAGACAGGCAGAAATGACTTGTGCGATTCTGCCTCCTGTTTAAGTGTCTGCGAATGACTGTACAAATATATCTAATCAGAGGGGTTTATGTGTGCATGCGGCACATATGCACCAAAACGATTAAATGTCTAGACACAGGAAGAAGGGAAATAACACTTTTTAATTTGGCTAATGCTTTAGGCTATTTGCTTGGTTAATATTACCGGAGCGAGGCTTCGATATGCCCTCTCAAATCAGGTGGGACGAGCGCGTATTGAATCCCCTCTTGTAGTTTGGTGAGTAAACGCGCAGCTCGCCAATTGCTTTTTGTAAAAACCGACATCCGTTTGGATCCGCGATCAATTAGGTAATGAGTGGGAATGCATGTTTCATATGTTTTCTCCCAGTTGTTCCCCTAGCTAAAGATTTATAGCATTGTGCTGAAGGAAGAGGGAGGAAACAGAGAAAGTATGCCGGGCCAGTTGTTTTCAAAAACACTCTGACTTTGGTAGGCCTGTGCTTACGTGAATATAAAGGTTTTATTTATTTTAGGTTTTTTTTTAAATTTTATTTTAATTTTTTACTTAAACA